ATGATTCTATGATTCTATGATTCTATGATTCTATGACTCAGACATCTTAGGTGCATATTTGAGATGTCCCGCCTGATCTCCAGCTGTGTCTCTAGAGGGTAATGGTCTCCCATAGCTCCTTTATCATCCATATATAGATGTCCCAGGCACTCATTGGTGCCTCAGATGGCACAAGGCATCTTCATTTAGGCAACTCAGTCAACCACTAGCATGGCTACATCTTAGGTGCATATTTGAGATGTCCCGCCTGATCTCCAGCTGTGTCTCTAGAGGGTAATGGTCTCCCATAGCTCCTTTATCATCCATATATAGATGTCCCAGGCACTCATTGGTGCCTCAGATGGCACAAGGCATCTTCATTTAGGCAACTCAGTCAACCGCTAGCATGGCTGTAGATCCTTCTATGTAAACACCTCAGTTTAGCTCTCCCTAATCTCCATTTTAATCTCACCTAGAGAGTGCCAGGTATACAAAGACATGAGAGGACAGGGACCAAGGGGTACCTTCCACTCTGTCCTTCACATCCAACTTGGACAGCACAGCTCTAAGATGCTGAGCAGATCCCAGTCCCTGTGGTCCATTTGCAGTCATTCTCCTTTCTGCACCAAGTATATCCATTGCATTGCAAGGTAAGAAAGCAGAAGAAAAGCAGAGGAAGAGATAAGGCAGAAGAAGGATCAAACTGCCCCAAATTTTCCCAGTGCAGCCCTCTAGCTGGCCTCTCTATCGAAGGGAAATGATCACTCAGTCCCTACAGCTTTTCTGGTCCTTGACTCCTCTACTAATAGCAACAACTACTGTACCCATTAGATAGTTCAGTGATGCCTGCCATTAACTCAGAACAAACGCCTCCTGGAAAAATGCCATCCAGCAAACCCCCGAATGGCCACTGCTGGTGGGTAATGTCATATAGACCCCTCCTCAGACAAGTGAGAGCAGAGCTGGTTGTAACAGCTTTTCCTTGCAGAAGCTGTTTCTCTGTTGGACTCTGTATTGGGTTTACGTGGCAAGGTTTTGGTAGTGGGGGGGCTACAGGGGTGGCTTCTGTGAGAAGATGCCAGAAGCTTCCCCTGTGTTCGACAGAGCCCATGCCAGCCGGCTCCAAGACGGACCCGCTGCTGGCCAAGGCTGAGCCCACCAGCAACGGTGGTAGCGCCTCTGGGATAACATATTTAAGAAGGGGAAAAAACCTGCGCAACAGCAGCTGGAAGAGAGGAGTGAGACTGTGTGAGAGAAACACCTCTGCAGACACCAAGGTCAGTGGAGAAGGAGGGGGAGGAGGTGCTCCAGGGGCCAAAGCAGAGATTCCCCTGCAGCCCGCGGTGAAGACCATGGTGAGGCAGGCTGTCCCCCTGCAGCCCAGGGAGGTCCA